GATTCAGCGATGTTTTCTCAAAATTCCGATGAAGTGACTCTTCGTCCATATTCTGATGAAGCGACTCTCGAGCCTAGTTCTGAATTTTCTCCAATTTTATTGAAAAATTCTCCAAATTATGAAAGTTTGCGTAGAAGAAATCACGTGGAACAAAATCGCAACGATGGTAGGGGCCCCCGATCATTTGTTGTTGTTATCTGACTTTTTTGGCAACAGAGTCTGTATAAGTATTCAGCAATAATGGATTTGATTTAAGTGTGCTTTGCATTTTGCATGGCCAATTTTTTAGTTTTTATATGGAAGCTGTGGGCTCTTACTACTGCTTACTTTTTTACTTTTTACTTTACATTACTTTTTACTTCATTTTTTTCACTTTTTTCCACTTACTTTTTTTCGTTATCTGCACCCTTTCTAGACTCTTCAACCGAGACACAACTACGAGTGCTGACACTCAATGTTTGGTGCCTTCCGCAACCATGGCCGATTGGAAGCAAAGATAGGAAATTTCGTTTGAAAAAATTGGCTGAGGCAATTCTTAGAGAAAATTATGATATTGTAGGATTACAGGTAACCACCCTTATGTCTCAAATCACTCATTTATCGTTATCATTTCATTTCCAGGAGGTATGGGTAGAAACCGATTATCTGGATATGGTCGATAGGCTTGCCAATCAATTTCGATTTCATCACTATTTCCACTCAGGATTTACAGGAAGTGGAGTATGTGTATTCAGCCGTCATCCTATAGTTTCTACACTTACGCTTAGGTATACCATTTGTTACTCTTTTGTTTTTGTACTTTTTTACGGTGCTTCATTGACTCTTTTTGAAGATATTCATTGAACGGTTTCGCACATCATGTTCATCGAGGAGACTGGTTTGGTGGCAAGGTAAGAGTGTTTGCAGTTTGTATGTGATCGATATTGTGACGTTTGTTACTAAGTGATTATTTCATTTTCAATTTTCAAATTTTCTCTTTGCTGAGCATACTTTTCATTCAAATCTTCATTTGCAGGTGGTGGGATTGGTGGAAATAGAGGTTGGTGAGATGAAAGTGAATTTCTATTGCACCCACCTTCATGCCGAGTACGATAGGGAACATGATATGTACCTGTCTCACCGGTATGTAAGCCTGTTCTCTATATTTCACTGTGTAAATTTTGTTCCAATTTTCTCTTATTCGTCTGATTATGCTATTTATACGTCTCAGGACTGCACAATCTTATGAACTAAGCCAGTTTGTCCGTCATACGTCTTGTGGGGCCGATGTTGTTATAGTAACGGGCGATCTGAATATGGAACCGGAGGACTTGGGGCTAAGGTAGTTTTCCTCTCTTTTGAGTTTTCAAAATCCGCCGAAATTTTTCTAGAAGTATAAGTGCTTGCAAGTCTGCAAAATGTTTTGCTCGAACGAAAACGTTTGTTTTCTTTATGATTCATGTTTCGCGCGAAAAAGTTTGATCGATGTTGTACAGAAAATTCTTCGTCGTTTCATAAAAGAAATTATCTTTCGAAGCCGTTTGCGACGACCTTGAAAGAATCTTAGGCCCTTATCCTCAAATCAGTGCTGATGCGCTTGCAAAATTTCCCCTACTTTATAAAAATACAATGTGATTTTCATTCTTTTCATTTGTTTTTTTTTTCATATTTTGGGCCGTCTGTTTTTTTCTATTTGCTTCCATTTCATTATAGGTTAATTCTGTCACAAGCTCGCCTTCTTGATTGTTGGCGTCTTGCACATCCCGTCACTCCGCAAGACAATGTCTCATTGTCGAAAAATCGAGGCGTTGACCGTGGCGGCACATGTGATCGTCCTGACAATTGTTATTCTTCTAAACGTTTTAGAGAAAATGTGAGTTGTCATGATTTTTCTGCATGCGGTTCGCTAGATCTATGTCTTTAGGATGAAAGCAAAAGGATAGATTATATATTGTTCAAAAGTGGCCGAATGTCTGTCTCGTTGGAGGAATGCGAAGTGACAATGAATAAGGTAGCTTTTTTGTTTGTTTTTTTTTGTTCAAATTATCATATCTTTTTTCAGATCCCTGATGAAAATATCAATTTTTCCGACCACGTGGGACTGCAAGCACAGTTTAGAGTAGAATCCGAGCAGCGTCAGGTATGCCTTGCTTACTCATTTGTGTCTCGTTCCTTCTTTCTTTGCTTAGATAATAAGTCTCCTCTCTCATATCGATTGAAATTTTCTCTCAGCTATTGCCCTTTGTTTACAGTAGCAGCTGTCATTCGGTATGTGCATAATTTAGAATTTAAAGTGCGGTTACATTTGCAAACATAATCTGCATTATATTCGTCGAAACCGGTCACTGTTGCAGAGGACGTTCTTATTTTTATGAACAATTTAATCATCAAGAAGTGTAGACCTGCTGCAGATTGATAATGATTGTTGTGACAATTGAATGTGTTGATTCGTAAAGGGCTTTGAACTGCTTAAAGGCTAGCGATGCAGATTCTTTTTAATACACTGGATCGATTGCGAACGTGGTGTTTGTCAATTAGTTGAAGGGTTGAACTGGGTCATGATACTAAAGACGAACAGGGTTGGGATCGCAGCTAGAATGAGCTGAAAACCAACTCAAATGTGGGACCAGAATGCAGTAGAGCATAGGCATAGAGATTTGTTTTTTTT